CATTAATTCTAGTTTTGGTCCTGACGGTCTAATGATCTAATGATGCTAATTAAATACTTTATTAATTATTGACCCGTCACTGTGATGAATTAGAAGCAGTTCATTATTTTCCTATCATACGTTAGTTAATGAAGACATGGAGCAGTAAAATGTCATCTCACTGACGTCAGGCCAGTTAAGCGTTTCAAAGTCAAACAGATAAGTTTTATGACAATTTTTGAGAAAGGAAATAATTGTCTTATTGCCATAACAACAACAAACAAAGCAGAGTTTGGCAGGAGACTTTGTTGCTGATGCAAATGAGCTCTTGACTCTAGGAAAACAAAAGCGGAATCGCCCACGATAAAACACCAGCACAAAAACACCACTCTGCTCAGAGACCTCCAATTAAACGTGTAGCTACACTTACCACCGGACTGTTCTGGATGTGGGTGTGTATGTGTGTGTCTGTGTGTGCATGCGTGTGAGTGACTCAAACCACTGTCACCTTCACTCGCTTATGAGTCATCCCTCTAATTAAGAGACCGGAACTGTGACACCTTTCAGTGTCTGTGGAACAATTATCCAATTAGGTGAGCTGTGAGACTGCAGGCTGACGTTTCTCACTCCGAGCTGGACAGAAATAATCTATTTGTCCATCCATCACCTCAGTGTGTTTGTGTTTAGTTTCATGGAGGTTTACCCGTTGGTCAAATTGCCAAAAGCACTGATAACATCCCTGGTAGATTGGTTACTCCAGCACTCGATGCTTACACTTTACATTCATTTACAGTAGATTGAATATTGTGCCTACTTTGTCTGATTGTATTATTGTTTGGTTTCTAAATTGTTTTGTTACAACCAATACTAACCCTTGATATAGGTGTCAGTGTAAAATAGCATCAGCCAAATTGACTCAGTTGCTATGAAGTGAAAGTATGGATCTCTTGTATGTCAACTTTTCAGGAAATAAAGTTCTAATAATCTATATCTTTGGCAATAAAGGGATAGTTTGGGTATTTTAAAGTGGGGCTGTATAAGGTACCTCTCTACCTACAGTAGATGACGTTCAGGGAACCCCCAGTTTGCAGAAGCAGACAGGAGTCCCTACACAGAAGCAGAGCACTGCAGTTTCAAGCAATTCCTGTTCATTTACAGATATTGCGTTCAAGAGAATGAGACAGACATGAGGTCACGGTGACCTTGATCTTTAACCTTTCGCCACTAAAATCTAATCAATTTATCCTTGGGTCCAAGTGGACAAGTTTGAAGAAATTCCCTCAAGGCGTTCACACAAATAACCCCAAAACATAATGCCTCCGCACCGGCACTCAAAATGACGTGCTCAGCACAACACACCCACAACCCACATGTTTAAATTTGAGTATGTAATTTACATTCATAGCACCGATTATGGAGGTATGTCATGAAGTTGCAACTGGCAGATGTACTTCATTTCAGAAAAAACAATTTGTCCCTCAACCCTTAAAAGCAACGTCCAGACTGCACTTGGTGGAAATCCCAACAATCTAAAATAGATGACATCAAACTCTTTTCACAACATTTCACAAATGAGCAGAATCTGTGGTTTTCGCATTAAGCAATGGTGTTCTGTTAAGTTACAGTATAATGTGATAGTGAAGTGCAGTGGGTGTCGATCCTCCAGTCAGGCTAGCTGTTAGCGTCGTTCTCTAACACAGTAGCCGTTCTGGCCCTTAATCACAGTGATTACTTAACCACAGAGGCTCTTAAGTGCTGCTTATCAGAACTCCTCTGGAGAGCAATTACACCATCACTGCTCTCTCTTTTCACATTCACCCCCCTCTGAAGCTCCTTTTTTTATCCCTGTGTCCTCTCCCCTACATCTATCATCCTTCTCTCGTCTCCAGCCTGCCTCCTACTTCTCTCCTCTCTTCTCGTCCTCTTCCTCTCTTTTCTCCATTGCTTATGCTCTGCTCCCTCTTCTTCTTGTCCCATCTCCTTTCCTGATCTATTTTTTAGTTTTTGAGATATTTCAGTCTGGATCAAAGTGGTGCACCAACCAGCATTTCCCATCCCTGGAGCCAGGTGGCTAAACATATTGACTACTCTAAAAACTATTAATTATTGTCTGATTTGGTGCATACTCACATTTGTGCACTTTTCAACCAAACTTACTGTACATGAACTGAATCCTGTTCTGAAGCACAGTCCAGCACTGCATGTTGTTCTGAGAGAGTGATGTTGCAGTGAGCTGTGTTGAAAAGTAAGCCGAATGAGTGTTTGTCTCCCAAACTTCACCCAAGGCTGAATGCATCCTTCTGTAAAGGTCACACCACTGTCTGACTTCTGAGGGACACGGTGAACAAGGAGGGAGTAGAGAGATCTATCTGGGTCGAGGGTTGAGGAGGAGGTAGCGGTGTGTGTGTGCTTGTTTGTTGGTTGCGTGTGTGTGTGCTTGGTTGGGGAGTGGTAAAAGGAACTGGTAGGTAAGTAAAGCTAGGGGCTCTTAGCTAACCACAGTCATCCTTCTGCCTCCAAGGTTGAAGCTAAAACAGCACAGATTATCTTTCCTAAGAGGTCAGAAATAGTTCAGTACGAGGGATGAGGGGGGGGTTGAGGACAGGATGGTTTATTACGAATGTTATTATAAACAATACATTGAAATAGAGACAACAAGACAACAAGAGAGAAAAGACAGTCATCTGATCGTCGATTTTTTTCTCTCATTGCCAGATTGCATTTTATTGCTGTTTTTTTTATAGTTTTGAAGCCAGCGAAGCAAGTTAAAAGCTGAAAATTGAAATCACACCAGAGACACAACAACAGGGGGTTGAAAGAGAGCGAGGGAGGGGGGGAGAATGGACAGAAAGAGAAGAAAGAGCACAGACATGGAGAAGAGAAGAAAAGAAGATTCTACTGATTTTAATATTACAACTGTTGGAGTTGAAAGCCGGAATTCTGTAGGAGGAACAGAGGATTCATTGTGCCGACTGTTTACTAAGAAGACCATTAAGGTCTGTTGAAACATTTCCCTGCAGCTCAATGAAGCACGATGCTTTCCCGGAGATCACTGTCTCTCGTCTGTCTCTCTCATTGCCTGAGGTGGCTCATCTGCTTATTTAAAGACTATTACACACATACTCAGAGTTTGTCAAGTCTTTTTTTTTACCCAAGAAATTGACTAGTCATAATAAAAACTGAATTTTGTTCCAAAGACTTCTCAACATTTCTCTCAGAGGAAGCAAGTGGCTGCCATTCATTCTTCTAAAGCATCAAAGTCAACTTCCAGAGGGTGAGATAATCCGTGACAGTAAACATGAGTCTATAATTTGATTTGGTCAAACTCCATTCATCCTCCTTGAAGTTGTGTGGTTTCATATTCCTGCTGCATTCTGTTTCCTTCTGTTTCTTCCTTTTGCATTTGTATAAAGAAATGGAAGACTCTTGCCAGGAAATAATCCTTCAAAGACGCTGTATAAACTTTCCTCTTGCATCCATATCTTTTAATTCAGAGTATCTGCGCCAGCCCAAAGAGCAGTGACTTCACAACTTCGACACAAAGCAATTAAAGATAAAACTACAGTACAAGGAGCTTGGCGTCACACACAACACTAGCAAACCTGCAGGATCTTTACTGTTACTGTTTGTTTATCATCTGTTTCTGACAGAAAAATGCATGAACACAGCACTGTCGAGCAGCAGAATTAAGTGCTTGACCTTTATCTTATATCTCCACCAGCAAGTAAATGCAGTACAACTGCTGCTATGGCAAAAAAAACAAAAAACTGGATCACCACCAAATTATAATATTGATATCCTATTGATTGTCAGACGGGCCGAGGTTTGAAAACTCAACCTTCCTCTCCTTCCTATCTGCAGACTGCTTTTCAAAATGATCAAATGGCAAAATTACAGGTAGCCAGTAAATGAGCTACAACAAGGTTCAATGAAGAAGCTTTACACATAATAAACTACGTTCTAAAAGGTTCTTCATCGCATCAAAGGTGGTTCTGCTCCACCTCACCCCTAAGAGAACAATGTTCTGGTCCCTGCACAGAGCGAGATATAGTTGGAGGGGCTCAGTGACACAAGCGGGTGATTTAGTTGTTCAGTCTCATGATTTATTTATTGTCTGCAGTCAAAACCCCCGGAGCTGTGGCAGAGACACAAGTGGCTACTGTACTGTAACATCAACGCTTCCAGCTCACCCCATGTTCCATTTACTAATGCAATTTGACTTGGTCTTGCTACAAGTCAATGGGAGCAAAAACCAGCCTGCTGTGTGAAGAGTGGAAGTGATGTCAGGCGTAGAATACAAGTTCAGTTCAAAGTCGGGGGAAAGAGCAGAGGAGACGCTTATGTACAGCATGTGCTGACTTCATTTTATTTCCTTTGATGTCTTAAAACCCCTCTGACAGTTTATTATGTATAGTGAGAACATTATGTTGACTTACTGTAGAGTGTTTAATCCACATCATAAACAGTGAAGCAATCTATGACTGAATGTTATGGGATGTGAATATGCTGACATACTGACCTAATGATCCGAGTTCCAGTAATAAGCCTAACAACTACAGAAAATGTATAGATAAATAGATAGATAGATAGATAGATAGATAGATAGATAGATAGATAGACAGATTTATTGACTACTTATAACATTCATTTAAATATTTTATCACTTGAATATACCCATTTATAGAGTGCCTATAGTATAACTGCTATTTTATATTCCTGTGACCTTATATTGTATGTATGATTCACCCGAATTCAGTTTTGTTGTTTGGAAAAATACTTACAGTACTATACCAATAATAATACATAATACTAGTAATCCACGTTAGTCCAGTATGGGTATTTACACATTCACATACAGAAAAGTACATGTTGTAAGAGACAAATTAGACTAAAAATACATGTTATGTATGTAACGCCTGAGCCTCTGTATAGCAGGTGACAGTTTCACTCACACTTCTTCCTCTGTGTGTCAAGAAAAGAGTGAAGACAGAGCTGAGTGAGGCGCACAACGCTGTACTCACATTCAGGATCCCGGATCCCTGCTGTCACCTCCCCAAACTGCGGGTATCCATCCGGAGGAAAAGTCACTTCATTTCACTCAAAATCCGCCAAAAACCGTTCAGTAATAGTGCTGGTGGTCAGGTTACACAGCCTCCAGAGCGTGAAACAGTGTGAGCGGAGTGGCAACAGCCGGCAGACTGAGCCACACAGAGAGGGGGAGAGAGAGAGAGAGAGAGAGAGGGAGAGAGAGAGAGAGAGAGAGAGAGAGAGAGAGAGAGAGAGGACGTCATCATTTCATGCAAAATGCGACTCTCTCTCTCTCTCTCTCTCTCTCTCTCTCTCTCTCTCTTTCTCTTTCTCTTTCTCTCTCTCTTTCTGTGTCTCTTTCTGAACATAAGGTGCAAATAAATGTAGAATCTTAATTATTGTGCTCAACTAATTTTGTCTGTGAATTATCCCTCATCATTTAGCCCTAGAGAGTCTATTCAGGGTGTCACAGTTGCAGTGTTCTGAGTTCTGTAATATACACTGTCCTTCTCATTATCATTTAAACAACATGGACGATGGGAAGTGTGAGGACCAGAGAGGTAGGTGAGCGTGTGGCATAATGGATTACCTATCTCAAGCAAGTTTAAAGCAGTGGTTCTCATCTCGTCTGGTGTCAAGAACGCCCAGATTGATACACAGCAGGCAGTGGACCCGTATTTGATAAGATGTGGTCTCAAGGATCCCCCTGATTAGATTGAGGTATTCCATAACTGTCTATACTGATATCGATAGATTATGGATTGGCAGACTAACAGTGAAAAGTGTGAAACCTATGAACAGATCATTCTTATACATTATCTCACTGGGCTACAAACAATCCCTGCCTCGAACTTTGTCTGTTTCAAAGCTCCAGTGTGTAACATCCACAGGTATGTTTTCATTAGTGTATAATCAGCTGGAAATAAGAATCATTGTGTTTTACGTTATCTTAGAATGAGACAATTTGATTTACAACACAGAGCATTTCCTCTTCCTCCGAGGCCATGCTGGCATGTTTGACCGCCATGTAGCAAGTTTATAGAGTTTCACAGCCATCGTAGTTTCACTTGAGTCAAGAGGTTTCAGTTGGTTTCAATCTCACCGCTATATGACTCTAAATCCTACACACTGGTCCTTTAATGGTTAGAATGAGTGTCAATCATACGTAACATGTACTGCCTAAAAAATTAAACTAACAGTAGGGTCCTTAAATCTTATGTCCGTGGTCAGGATTACAGATGAATGAATGAAACAGGTCGTTCTGCTGCAGCTCTACTTCTTTTCACCTGATAGAAGACAACAGAATATCAGGACTGGTTGTGCCAAGAAAGTGTTATCTGGACAGCACATGCAGCTCTTGGGCAACAGACCACTTCCTGGCTCGTCTGTAACCTGGAGGGGAGACGACGGTGTCGTTTCTGTGGAGAATCAGAACCTGATGTCCAGGCATTTCTCAGAATAAGCTCCATGTGTGTTGTGTTTGATGATGACCCTGTGTGAAAGCTGGAGGAGGCTGGCTGCGTGCAGCTTCACTCTTTCCGCTGCTCTGATGAGTAAATGTGATCATGAATTAAGAATTGTGTTTTCGTTACCTTAGAATGAGCAATTTTATCTGCAAATAGAGCGGGTCCTCTTTGGATTCTGCCATGTTATTTACAGTAACCCAGAACGGACCAACCAAACACTGGCTCTTTCACATCTCAGCACAAGTTTTGCAGCCAGCGTCAGTTTCTCAAAGATGAGTGGATTGGAAGGCAAACTGTAACTTCACCCCTAGATGCCACTAAATTCTACACACTGGTCCTTTAAGTTACAGTTGTAGAAGGGGTTAGGGTTAGACAAGGTGAGCCTCCATGTAATGGTGTAAATCTCGCAGCTATCACGCAACATTTCACCGAGACACACCCCCTTTTGGCCATAATTTCAGCCGTCCCACTCGGGGCTCCTCAGGGTACACTGAGCTAAATGAGGGTGAACGTATGACTCGCAAAACAAATGATGGCTGCGCCCATATTGAGATGTATTTTCTTTGTATTTGTACTAAGTTGGTCGTTTTAATGTCGATTTTAAATGCTCTTACACACTTTACATTGCTGCTTTAGTCCGGTCACCAATTTATGCATTGCACGGTGTTGCTGTGCGTGCAATACATGATGTTTCATAACTAGGTTCGGGAACAAAGACCAAACCCTGCAATCATCTAATTTCCGCTCAAAACTTACTTAAGCACACCTTATCCGTTCACTCCCTCCTTGACTCATTTCCCACATCCCTCCCTTTCTTTTTGTCTCCCTCTCTTATCCAAATACAGGAACCACTGGGACAGTTCCCCCACTCAGTGTCTCGCAACCCACTCAGTTCCCTCTTACATCGCACCCAACCCCTCCATCCATTCATCAATCCACCAACCGACCTTCTTTCCTCCTACCTTCATTCCTCCGACCTCATCCATCCCTCATCCCTCGAACCTACCTCCATCCCTCATCCCTCGAACCTACCTCCATCCCTCGAACCTACCTCCATCCCTCGAACCTACCTCCATCCCTCATCCCTCGAACCTACCTCCATCCCTCGAACCTACCTCCATCCCTCGAACCTACCTCCATCCCTCGAACCTACCTCCATCCCTCGAACCTACTTTCACCCCTCATCCCTCAGTATACCACATTGGTTCACATTTGTTCATTATGTGCAATAAACGTTTCTTATTTCATACATTTGATGGCATGGTCATTGTTAGTGAAAATGTAAAGTTTTGTTTTCGAGCTGGTTTGCTAAATAAGCTAATGTAGCTAACAATAACACTAGCCTGCCACTGCCCCTGGTGGCCCCTCGAGGCCCCTGGTGTCTCCTGGTGGCCCCTGGAGGCTCGAGACAAACGCCACAGCACTTGCTGAAATTGAAATAGGCGAAAATGGCAAAATATTATTGAGATGTAAGACTTGCAATAACGGAATTACTTGAAATGTTAGTGTTTCGGTAACAAAACATATTATTATTTCACACTGAACTTGTTTAGAAGAGCCACAAGCAATAACAAGACAGCTGCTGCACTGGTGGCGTCCATGTTCTTTCCGACTCGTAATGCCCAAAGACAAATGGAACGCTATAAGTGGTACAAGACAGGCAATTACGTCACGTTCTCGCGTCAGAGCAACTCGGGCGGGGGATTTACGAGACAAATTGATAGCACCGTAAGTCCATCCGGTGTTCTCACTACTGAGTTTGTGTTGTTGTGGTATCTGTTCGAGTGTGTATCTGTGTGTGTGTAATATCTAAACCGCAGTCAAGTAAAAGCCAAGCTTGCTGGTGTAAAACATCTCCCAGCAGTGAACTCATTATGTCCCATTAAAACACATTAAAACACCATCCAGCTCATTTACTACGGGGTTGTTATGGGAATTTAGCAGCGCAGAGCCACTGAGTGCTTCCGACTAACTGCACAAAATCTGTCTCTGAAGCCTTTGTTTCATTTCTGTTTATTTACATGGTGAGCCTGCTGCTTTTCATCTGCTTGATCTCTCCCCATAAATGTTTCAAGATGCTTCCAAATCTTTATATGATCTTGTTTTATATATAAAAAACCCCACTGGGATAAGTGTGTTCACTGTAAAGTCATAAAGTACTGCAGACACAAAATATGACATAGGGGATTTAAAAAAATACTATACAATGAACAACAATGCCACCAAATGAAGAAACAATTTAAAAACAAATTGGCAATTTATTTGCAATCTTAAGTACAAATATACAAAGAATTGAATAGAAGATTAGAAGAAACTGTAGTTGGAGCTTTCTATGTCATTTACTGTTTTTAACCTTTTTGTTAAGTTTAGGTTAAAGGTCTGTGTGTAAGATTCAGTGGCATCTAGTGGTGTAGTTTCAGATTGCAACTCAGTAGCTTCACCCTCCAGTGTTTGATTTGTCTATTCTGGGCTACTGTAGAAACATAGTGGTTCAACATGCCGTCGGAATCTAAAAACAGCTCATTCTAAGGTAATGAAAACACAGCGAGTCTCATTTCCAGGTGATTATACACTATTGAAAACATACCTATAAATATTATATTCAATTTCTGCCAATAGATCCTCCTAAACCTTACACACTAGCCCTTTAAATCATCTTAAATAGCATTAGGGTAAATCACTTCTAATTTTCAATATTGAAATGAGTAATATAATGTCGGTAGGTATACATTTGCAAGTACCTATAGGAGTAAACATAAATGATTTATTGGTTTACAACATTCAACAGTACCACAGTGACTTCCACAGACTCACAGTGAGGTTCATGATGAGTAACAAAAATACACATTCAAAATTCAGTCATATTAGTCACGTTATGGTGCCAAAGGCCTTCATCACGGAAGACATTTTACATGTCACTTCTTCAGTTTCCCATCCTGGTTTTGTTCACGATGGCTTACTGTAAACACTTCCTGTGACACTTGAGTAGAATGCTATTGTTATTAGTGACACCTGTACTTTTCCTACTATGACAAGTCAATACATCTGCTGTGACAAACTATTCCTCATCTGTCCGCTCGTACCACCTGTACCCAGGAATTCATTAGCTCCACACTATAAATAGAAGACTGTTCATTCTCTTTGTTTGCCAGATCATTAATGATGCTACACCAGTCATTGTGTTCCTTGTGTTCCTCCTGTTTCTGCCCGCTTCCAGTTTGGTCCAGAATGCAACAACGTCATCTCTTCTGTGTAAACTGCCTCGAAGGAACACTTTCCTACTCTGCCTGTGTGTCTGCATCCAGTGTAAACCCACCGTGACGTCAGCTATTGGTTTATGGACAACCATTTTGAAGCCGAGAACGTGGAGCTGGTGGGTGACGTTCAGGCAGGAAAAAAATGGCGGCCTGATCACAAACTTCCTCCTATTCCAGCTAAACAGTACACTAAAATAAGTTCTGAAATCATTGTAGGTGAGAAATAAGCAGGCAGTGCAGAACAGAACAGAACAGAATCTTAATTTATATTTGCTCAGCACTGCCTGGTTTTACAGCTTGATCTGACTGACTTGTTTGAGAATGACCTGTCAGTCACAAAGGAGCCACGCCCCAAAGCATATCTTGCATTATGGTCTATTTTACTCTAAATGGGACCATCATTTATAAAAGGAAGATCAAGAAGACAGTCAAAGGGGGATAAAATAACCTCTCTACAATCATATTTT